GTTGGTTGCCCATATATCTTCTTTTGAGAAGTGTCTATTCATGTCTTTTGCACACTTTTTAATGGGACTTTTTTTTTTTTCTTTTGGCAATTTGAGTTCCCTATAGATCCTAGATGTTAGGCCTTTAAATGACCACCATAGCCAAAACAATCCTTAGTAAAATAAACAAAGCAGGAGGTATCACACTTCCAGATTTCAAACTTTACTATAAGGCTGCAATAATCAAAACAGCCTGGTACGGGTACACGAACAGGCATACAGACCAATGGAACAGGATAGAGATTCCAGAAGCAAAGCCTCAATTTCTCAACCAACTCATCTTTGACAAAGCCTCCACCAACAACCACTGGGGAGAGGAGAACCTATTCAGTAAATGATGTAGAGAAAACTGGTTGATCACATGCTGTAGATTGAAACAGGATCCCTACCTATCACCGTACACAAAAATTAACTCTAAATGAATCAAAGATCTAAATGTAAAACCTCAAACTATAAGAATCTTAAAAATGCAGGAGACAGCCTTATGGAAATTGGAACTGGCAACCAATTTCTGATCCAAACTCAAAGTGCCCATGCCATAAGAAATAAGATAGAAAAGTGGGACCTCACCAAATTGGCAAGCTTCTGCAAAGGAAAAGAAACCATCAAGAGAGTGGAGAGACAGCCCACAGAATGGGAACGCCTGTGTTTTTTGTAATGAGTCTACAAGTTTAGTTTATTTTAAAATTTTATTATTATAAGGCTTTAGTACTTGCTCTGTAAAGTTTGATATATGATTAGATGCAATATCATAGAAAAACATGAGCAAGAAAGCAGCACTAAGTCCCTCTCAGTGATTGCTTGGATTCTTAGAAAAGTAGTTCTTGATTTGTGTGTGCATCTGAGTCACCTACAGACATAACAATTTGCAAGTTTAGGTCCCATTCCTGAGGATTCCAATGGAATCTACATTTTGACAAGTGTCATAAACCAAAATGTTGACTTTGCTGCAGGCCATAAAAGGATCACATCTAGAGATGCTGGTCTAAGAAGCCCTCTAGAATCCTAAGGAATTAAAACTAAAGACTGGGTGCTAAGGAAAAGGACATCTGAAAAATGGGTTGGAGATACCCAAATTAAAAATTAAAAGAGGCACCTGCAAGGGTAACAGACAATGAGGAAAAGCAGATGTTAGACTCTGGGAAGCATGTCAGGACAAGAGTGAACTTTATAGAAATACAAGAGCACCAGCAGCATCATGATATTCACTGTTATTATCGTCGTCATTGTCGTCATCATATCAACATGATCATCAGTCTATTGGGTGAGAACACATGATCTCCAAAAACAAGGCAAGGGTTTTACATAGGTCATCTGATTCAATCCTTATAACAGATTTAAAAAGAAGTTAATATTTTAAATTTATCTCTATTCTACATATGACAAAACTGAGCTTTAGAGAAGTCAAGTGGGTGACCTCCAAGTTTATTTAGATTGCAAGAATAAAAACAGATTTAAATCAGGCAATGTGACTGTAGAGCCTGCCTTTTTTTTTTTTTTTTTTTTTTTGAGTTGGAGTCTCTCACTCTGTCACCCAGACTGGAGTGCAGTGGCCGCTCCTGGCCACCGCAGCCTCGACCTGCCGGGCTCCGGCGATCCTGCTTCCTCAGCCTTCCAAGTAGCTGGAACTACAGGCGCATGCTACCATGCCCGGCTAATTTTTGATTTATTGTAGAGATGAGGTCTTGCCAAGTTGCCCAGGCGGGTCTCAAACCCTCAGGCTCAGGCAATCCACTCACCTCAGCCTCCCAAGGCGCGGGATTACAGGCTGAGCCACCGAGCCCGGCTAAGCCTGCCTTTTTAATCACTATTCTTTAGTGACATTTCATAGCACCTCTGAGCTAAGGATGGCTTCACCATTGGATAAGGAAAAGGAAAACAGCATTCATTTAATGACTAATTAAGTTGAATTTGCAGAAACCATGGAGGATAATCAAAATAGAACTTTAAAAAATCAAGGGCCATTAGAAGGAAAGTGCTGTGGGGTTGGGGGCAAAGGGAGATGTCAGTCAGACCTAGGAGCAAAATCTTTGATAATGCAAAAAGCATGTAGAGTTTGAGGCCTGGCATAGAAATTAATGGGAATAGTGTGAATGGCTGGAACCTCTGACAAGCTGAATGTTCCGAAAGGAAGTGACTCAGCACAGTGATTCAGTGATTCAGATCACTGGGAATAGAGATCAAATTATCTAACATGTATACAGCTGTCCAAAAATTCCTCTCAGTGACTCAGACTCAAGGAGGGGACAATACTTTCTTCATCCCCTTGTAAGTACAGGCTTTGTTACTCATTTTCACTGTTGAAGCAATGCGGTTTATACAATTGTGGAAAATATAATGACATCTTAAATTAGACAGATATGGGTTTGAAACCCTGTCCTAAGTCAACAAGGAGCCTTGAGTAGGTTACTTATTGTCTCTGAACTTTATATGTATATATATATGCACACACATATACACATAAGTTATTAACATCTACTTCGTAGTAATGCTATTAGAACTAAATGAGACAATTAAAAAACAATATTTGACACTTAGTACATTCTTCTTCAGCCCTTAATATTAAGTTAAATTTAATTTCACTTGCACTACCATGAAGGTACTCGCAGCATGGTCTAACCTAGTTCTAGTTCTAACCCTTGTGAGATGGACATGTTTATAGCTTAAAAGTATAAAGACAAATAAGAAAACATTGGGCATTTGGTGCTAAGAGCATAGATTTAAATATAAATCCTTAAAGTAGTACTTAAAGTCATAGCAAAAACATTCCATTCCAATGCTTTAGATTTCCAGGTCTGCTTGGCACTCAACTATTCTCTAAACTCTGTGTATCTGTGAGTAAGTAATCTAAATGTAATGGACTTCTCTTGGCTCATCTAGAAACCACGGGATATAATATTCACACTCAGTATAGGACAATACACAATTTTCAGTCGTGGTTGTTCATGGTTTTCTTTAGTGAAGTCAAAGTTTATAAAGTTACTAAAATTGTGTAGAAATGTCATAATATAATCAAGCAGTATTTTTCAAGCATAGTACATTATACAGAATATACGGATATTTATTATATCAAAAATTATATATTAGATAAAAAACCAAATATATGAACAATCACAAGATAATTTTAATAACTGGTCAATAGATAAAATCTGTTATAAGAGGTCCTAAATAAACTAGCTATCTTTCCAACCACTGCCATTAAATTCGGTAAAAATTCTCCTTTTGTTTTGATGAATGTTGTGTGTACGTGTGCTTGTGTGTGTGTGTGTGTGTGTGTGTGTGTGTGTGAATGTGTGTGTGCTTGTATTTATTTTGAGGAAGTTGGTAAATTAACCCACTGATATATTTACTTATCTCTAGTTATGTTTACACATTTAAATAGGTTGCCTAAAATCCATACCCTGGTGTGTCCCTTGTTTCTGAGCTCAAGTACTCTCTACATGAATAGTAAGTATCCTATGCTTTGACTGTGTTTGGAACTTGCAAGCCAGAAGACATGCCTTTTACAAGCAATGAAATGAAGCTGTCAGACATTGCAAATGGATCAAGATAGAGGTCACGTGACTAAAACACCCCTGCACCAGGCAGTCTCTGATGTATTTTATTCCGGTTTCAATATTAATCAGATGAGTTGGGAGAGCAATAATTTAAACGCTGCAATAATCAGTTCCATAACACATTAATAGAAGCTACAGTCAAACTTTGCCACACCACTGACTGCATTGGAATCTTGACAGGAGCCCTAGGGCCATACCTAATTTGCATTAAATTTACATAAAATTGTAAATCAAGAATACACGCACACAGCCCTAATATTTGTTAGTGCTTAGATCTTTCCTGATAGATGAATTGAAATTGCTGGTGGTTGGACTTTGCTTGCAATAAAATTGTGCAGCTGATCAGCTCTGTTCTCATTCTACCGTTACGGGGAAAGGAAGCCAATAGAGCCATAGTTTGGGGGCATGTGTGTGTCTTTTAGGGTTTTTATCACATAAAACCATGAATCAGGTGTGACCTTGGAAACATCACTCTACAAGCAAATTGTCCCGAATGACGTTGCAGATCCATGTCACTGGATTTGGAGCTCTGAAACACCCGGGTATAGATTTTAGGCAACCTATTTAAATGTGTAAACATAACCGTATTATATGGAGCTACAAACACAGAAAGGTGGATAGCTGAGAAGACATCAAGTACTCTGGAAATTTTTACTTTTCCAAAAGGCTTTTGCTATCACAAAAACAGATGACTCATACTATTCTTCAGGACGAGTACAGATAAAACCAAGCTTTCTTAAATTCAGCAAAGAATACGGTATCTAATAGGGAGAAAAAGTGGACTTCAGATTGTTCTAAGCATTCTGTGTGTTCCAGTGTCCTTGTCTTATCTTGTTCCAGATGCTGTGGCTTTTCCTGTGTGTTTTCACACTCAGGGTTAGGAGAAAACATTTTCACCAAAGGCACAGACTCACAGTAACAAGGGTACTCTGTGCATTCTCCTTAGTCTTCTTATTTTAAGTCTATTTCTTTAGAAATAAAATATAGCCGGGCTCGGTGGCTCAGCCTGTAATCCCGCGCCTTGGGAGGCTGAGGTGAGTGGATTGCCTGAGCCCGCGGATTCGAGACCCGCCTGAGCAACTTGGCGAGACCTCATCTCTACAATAGATCAAAAACTAGCCGGGCGTGATCGCGCACACCTTGTAGTTCCAGCTACTTGGAAGGCTGAGCCGAAGGATCGCCGGAGCCCGGCAGGTCGAGGCTGCGGTGGCCGGGAGCGGCCACTGCACTCCAGTCTGGGCGACTGAGTGAGACTCCAACTCAAAATAAATAAATAAATAAATAAAATATAGATACTTAAGTACAATAATATGTTTGAAAGTATTATTTTCAGAAAGAATGCTGCCAAATATGCAACAAAACCTCTTCTTTACTACCTACCCATCTATCCCACCACCTCCTTACCTTGCACGATCAAGTAAACTTGGGAGGTCTTGGGCTCATGCTGTGTCTGAACTGAGCAGGTGTAGGAACCCTCATCATAGACATCCACCTTCTGGATTCGGAGGCTGTATTCCAGAGAATGGCGTTTCTCCAGCTCAACCCTGGGGTCCAGAGACCACTTGTCATGTCCAGCGAAAATGATGCCAGAACGGTTCAACCAGGCCACCTTTGAGTTCTTATCTTCTACAACGCACCTGACAAAGCAAAGTGACAATGTTAGTGCCTTCACCAAAACTATTTCTGCTTTTCTGCTCTACATGATTGGACCCAACATGACCAGCAAAAGAAAAATAATACATTCATTTTACATGCAAAATGAATCATTTCCATGCCATTTCTTGGAGTCTTAAGCATTTTCACTATTTCCTTTAAGATCTAATTACCATCCAACGGATGGAGGTTATTATATTAGACTCAGTTCAGCAATAAGCAATCTGACTATGAGTAATGAAGACAAATATAGTTAAATTAGTATTCACTTCCCACTGGATTATCTTCTTCCTGTTTAGGAAAAGGCCATTCACCCCAAAATCCATCGGTTTATTAATTTTGAAAATTTACAATTGATATTGTGGCACTTTTAACCATCTTGAGATGTATTCTTGTATTTCCTATAGTCTTGTGTGTTGGTAGATTCAAGTTATGTTCCAACACCATAAGAATTAAACTAGATTTCTGAATTTACTTCTGATCTATATGAGTTTGGAATGGCCACTTCTGGGAGTGAAAAGTGTGTGAGCAGGTCCAAGAATATATGGATAGACGCTGCATCAAGGAAAGCAAAACAAACATCACCAGGCATAAGGCTAGTTCCAGCTGTTGAGGGCAGTAAGTTTGGTGGCAAAATAGCTTGCTACCAGCATTTCCAGTTATGTTGAATGAATGCAATCTTTTATGAAACATGAAGAAGCCAATTTTGTAGTTCATTGTTTTAAAAAGGTAAAGAAAAAAATTCTTATTTGAATGACTACTTAAAAAAAAAGTCTAAACAGCTCTCTTCAGAAACTTGAAATAAAGGTCAAAGAACACGCATTAGTGGAGAAGGTGTAAATACTTCATGAGAATGGCTTTCTTCTTCAGTTCCAGCAAGAATCTGGCTATGAAAACTCTAGCAAAAATAAAAAATAAACAAACCACCTCAAACTTTCTGAGTATCTTTTTGGCAAGACTTATATCTACCCTACAATGAGATTGTCTCAGGCCCTGTTCACAGCTGTAGAGCCAGTTGGTCAACACTCTGGGGCATGAGGGGAGGAACAGAAAGAACAAGGAACATGGCAGCAGAACAATCAAGACACTATGCTCCCCTGCATTTTCTAAACCGAGTCAAATCTTGGTTGTCTCTCAGGTCAAAACAGCTAAGCCTAGACAGAAAGTTGATGCATAATCCCCAGGCTGTTCACGAAGGGATATAGAAGCCAAGTTACATCTCTCATAAGAGAAAAGCCTAATTTTTTTTAAATACCTCATCTACTGTACAAAGACTTCCTTATCCCATTATTTTTAGGTGAATTGTATATTTCATTTAGAGTGAGAATTTGTTTAATAAGTTGGGTGCCAAGATACACAGGTCTTACTTTTCTTCTTTACCTATTCGTTTTCATAAACATGCTAGATTTAGGATCATCTCATAGCTCCCTTCCTCCATATGTGATAGTTTTTTTGCCATGCAGATATTTTTGGGCATAATGTATGTTTTTGATAATTTAGAGCTCCTCCATGAGGAGCACAAAGCTAATTTCATGGATCCTAGCTACTTCTTTCCAGACTCAATTTCACTTTTCTTGTTCCACTCATTTGTGGCAACATTTCTCTGTCCTTGGTGGTATTTGCAGCACCTCTCAGCTTAGAGTTATTGATGAATTAATTATTCTACATTATTAATAAAATTGTTGAATGCAAATTTGCTATGTTTTCCTATTATACTAAGAAGAATAGAAACTTACATGTGTAAATCTATCTATCTATCTATCTATCTATCTATCTATCTATCTATCTATCTATCTATCTATCTATTTATTTATGTTGAGGTCTCATTCTGTTATCCAGGCTGGAGTGCAGAGGCACAATAACGGCTCACCACAGCTTCTGACTCCTGGGCTCAATTACTCCTCTCACCTCAGCCTCCCAAGTTGTTGAGACATGCCACCACACCCATCTTCTTTGTGTGTGTGTGTGTGTGTGTGTGTGTGTGTGTGTGTGTGAGTGAAGACAAGGTTTTGCCCAAGCTGGTCTCGAACTCCTGAGCTCAAACAGTCCTCTCTCTTGGCCTTTGAAAGTGCTGGGATTATAGGTGTGTGCCATCATGGCCTCCTGTGTAAATGTATTTTCAATGTTCTATCATGTTTCCCTTTGTATTTTTCTCATATGTACGGCTTAACACAACAATGACCAGATTTGCTACATCACAGAGATGTATTCTGAATGCCTTTGATCCCAAAATATGATCCTGAGCTTCTATATAGAAAAAAAAACTTTATATTTTATTTAAACGTGGCCTGTAAATCAAATAAAGATAGATTTTGCCTAATTTATTTAGTTATCACCAAAAACTAAACTGGGATAAAAACAGGTATTTGGCAAATTTCTGACCAGTGGACTATCAGGGACACACATGGAGACAAAGGACATATGATGACATATATTCTCCATCTCCATTTCAAGCCCTGCAGCATCCACAAATAAATCAGACAAATTTCTTTAACAATACAAGTTAGAGTTTCTAAATTGGGTCTTTAGGGTCCTCTGTTATTTTAACAATGTTTTCCCATGGAAAACTTAAAAATCACACAGATCATTATTCTAAATTATTTTCTGAGAGTGTTCAGATCTATCTTACCTAAAGAAGTAATTGACTATTTCAGCAAAATTGCCAGACCCATAAAACTGCATCTAGTGAAACAATACATTGTGTGGAAATTTTGTTATGACAATCTACATAACATCTTATTTTTACTTTGAGTTTCATCCATATTTATCTTTAAAATGTATCTTTTACTTACGAACAAGTGAAATGTATATTCGAATACACATACACTTTTTATTGACTCATATAGCTAGCCCAACTCCAAGCACCAGAGCACAATACAGTACAGTGTTTTTAACAAGAAAACCACTTCTCCACATCTTTGAGAGTAGTTTTTTAAGTAGTCAGCAGTTCCAAAGTAAATGCATCGGCCCTATAATTCTTCTACAATGTGACCAAAACTTTCCTAATGAAAAATGAGTAAAGGTATAATGCAATTTCAGAACTAATTTAACTTATTTTTAATTGTAAAATCTTGATTTAAGGTGGCATTGATTATTAACCACAAAAAGTGTGCATAAAAAAGATGGTAAAAGCAAAATAATAGTCACAATTTGTTGAATTCTATTTTAGTAAGTGAAAATGACCAGTCATGCAGTGTCCTCACAGACCACCTGCCTATACAGAAATGAGAAATAATGAATTAAAAGCAGATCCAGGTTCCCTGCATTCACTGACTCGCCAATATGCATCGTGGGCTTACATCTAGGAGGGACGTTGGCTCAACTGTGCATTAGGCAGGCCTGAAGGGCTAAAGAATTCTTGGGCCATGCCATCATAATATAATAATAATGAATTATTGTTCATCTAGAATCCTGCTTCAATATTGGACAAATTAGTTCTTAACTGAATACCTAATGACTATCTCTAAAATCAGCTTTGGCTAAAGCAGGGAAAGTGTGAAGAGGTATAATTTTTAAAAACCTGTTAGTGTTATGAGATGTTTTATTTAATAGAATGTGGCCTTGAGGAGCTCATGATGATGCAAATAATTCCAGGCATAGAAGAACTGGACGCTAAAGGGAGTGGGTATTAATGCCAGGAGGAGAGGGTCAGAGAATGCCCTTCCACTGTAGGCGGGATTTTTGGCAGGTAGCTGAGAACACGGGTGTATGAATGCCACCTCTCCAGGAAATCATCTCTCATCCATGTCCCATCCTTTTATGACCTTCTTAAAACCTCCTTCTTATGACCTCATCATATTCTACATTGCATTAGAGTTATTTGCACTCATCTTTTCTCATAAGCTTATTAAAGACAATGACCTTCTTGTAATTTACCTCTGGATCTCTCACTGAGCCTAGCAGCATAAACATAATCTACACAATAGATAGCTGCTGAAATGTGGAATAAACTGAATTTAATTTAACAAATTGCTATTAGATCAATCATCAACTATTTGTTAATTATCTAATAGGTGCATAATAGATGGCTAATTATTTTAACATTTCTTAAGAAATAATTAAATTATCAGCTACAAAAGGAAATTTAAAGAGAATTATTGAGTGTGGTATTAAAATGAAAGCGAAGGAGAGGAAAAACTATGCTCATTGTGTTCACTAAGAAGAATCTTCAAGAACTAAAGAATCTAGAGTGAGTGTGAAAAACTATTTTTAAAAGGTACAAGTTACTAAATAAACATTTAGTACATTACTCACTTTAGCCATGAAACCTCAAATATTGAATGGGTTACCTACCTTAACTATAAACCTACCATTTTTTAAAAATCAGCTTTAAAAAATAACAGGAAAGCCAAGCAAATGAAGTTTTATCTTTCCTTTTCAGTATATTTGATTCTGTAAAACTGTCACAAAAAATCAATGCATCTATAAAAATCTCAAGCATTGGATCTCTGAAAACACTTTACATCAAGTATATTATGCACACTTATACAAACAGGTGCATTGACAATTCCACTCACACTGCACAAGGGTGGGGATTATGCTTCTAAAATGATGAATATAATCGGAGTTAGAAAAGAAATGCTAAATTCAGTTTGTACCAATAGATTACTTAGTAACATATTTACTGACAGGATATCCATGGGGTAAATGATTCATATCTACCAGATATTAAGTCCGATCAATTGCTGCTGGACACAGCATTTCATATTTAACAAGCATTACTGGTTGCTAGAAAACTTACCACCTCGGTATTCAAATTTATCCATATTTAGCTTTATACAAATTTCCTCTATTTCCTAAGAGTATAATCTGGTATTTATTCACTGATAACAAATAAATATATTTTACATAATCTCTCACAAATTATATTCATACTTTTACATTGCAGGGTCTGGAAGCTGTGGACATAGATGAGTAAGAGATTTATTTGTTTCTTTTTTTTTTTTTTTTTTTTGAGCTGGAGTCTCACTCTGTCACCCAGACT